AATATCTTTCACTCTTTACATCCTAAGAGTTCCTACTGTGGGAGAATATACTTTCTAGTTTTCACATAAGCTCTGCTCTCTTGCAGCTGTGCTCTTTCTTGTAAGTCCTTCTCATGTCCTGAAGACAGGTGCTTGGCTGACACGTTGGCCTCAGCAGATGTTCTGCACACAGAACAAACTTCCTCATCTTCAAAGCCTTACTATATGACTCCCTTGTCCAGGAAGGAGATTATGTACACATTTTATGTTATTCAGATGTTTTCCTTGGTCCTTGGTTTCTGGTTGTTATCTTGCTTTGCTGACCTCTGCTACTGAATTCCAGATAAGTTCTCAATAGACATGCACTCAGCATTTTCTCAGGGGTTGCTCTTTTATGAGAACCTCCTGCGCTGTCTCTCCTAATCCTGTGTGGTTGTGAGAACTATTTCAGTGCCACACCACTTCATCTGGAGCCTGAACAGGGACCTGAAGGCCAACTACACACCCATTACTCAAGCCCGAGCAACGGGGAAGAGGACAATCTTCATCCAGGTGGGAGCTACAGCCCATGAGGCTAGTGCGGAGCCAAGTCTTTTCAACACACAGCGCATTCACTTTCAGCTCGGGGTAACTCGCTGTCCCCTCGACAACTTGCTCACAAGCGCCAGCTTTCTTTTTTGCTTGCAGCCACTAGTCAAAGGTTTCTAACTCAGATTTAACTTAACTTCTTACTGTTATTTATACTTGTTGTCCTTGGTATCCACAGGAGGTTTCCTTGAAAGTGTCTGATTGGGAGAGAATAGGTCATTGGTTGAGAAATGGAAAAATTATCGTTAATGTACAACATCTGAATACTTGGAATTTATGCCCCATAGCCATCTCTGCTACAGAAGAGTATGACGTTCCATGGGATGATCTTATTCCTCCCCCCAAATTGCTGCTCCCTTCTCCTCCCGATGCTTCCAAATCTGCTTATATTGAGCCTATTAAATCTGCTCCTTCACTCGTTGACCTGGCCCTAGCTCAACCTCAACATTTTATGGTAGATAATATGTTACAGGAAGGAAGTTTAGGTGGAAGACCTGTCTCGATCCCCATCTAGAGCAGGGAGGGACACCTCTGGTAGAAAAAAGCCACAGTACTAGGTGCCACATTTTTCTGTTTTACAGATGAGAACTAACAGTTCCAGAACCACCCCTTTGAAGTGTATCTTTAAAAAACTGGGATAAGTTTGATTCCCAGGCCCTAAAAAGTCCTTTATATACAGACTTTCTTTCTTTAAGAGAAGACCTCACCTGCCCAGAGAGACAATCCCTGCTGGGACCTCATCTTATCAGTCAGTCTACCCCTGTCATCAGAGCCACCTTGAACACTCTTTGATTTAAATTTTAGCTAAGAAACCATGACTATAAAAAGGAGAGATGACATATTTGGCCATAATATTCTTTAGAATCCAGAGAAGAGTGGTTAAAATGAAATCTTTTTGAAATTGCAAGACTGTTTTTTTTTTTTTTTTTTTGCACATGCAATTAGGAAAAAGCTGGCTTATTAAAATACTTTTTTTGGAGCTCCAACCCTGCCTGAGAAACAAAAACATTCCTGGGATAAAAATACTTGAAGTTAACTTTTATTGTGTCTTTGAGATACACAGCCCACTCTGTCTGGGACTCCAACCATGAGCAAATTGGTAGAACTTCAAGCCAAGAAACAAAAATGGCAAAGAAACATTTAAAATTTCAAGTGGAAATCTGTGAGGTCTCTGTCCAGATTTATATGTGTCTCAGCATGGGTTTCATGCTTGGACAATATTGCTAAAGGCTAATTGGCCTAAACAGAAGTAAGCGCTTACAAATCAAACAATTCTAAAGTCAAGAAAAGTAAATGAATTTCAGACTTGTGTGAACTGGGAAATGTTGCTTATTGAATTGATACCTGGTATTGACGTTTGTTTATTGATCTAATTAACATAGACATTGTGAAGATACTTTTACAAATGACATAGCTTTGGGTGATTTATGTTTACCAATCTACAAAATGATGATATAAAGTACAGTTCATGGTTGTGGAAGGAAAGTAAGATGTGTATTTTTAATAAAAAGTTATAAGGAATGGAATTACATTCTATTAAGGAAAAGGAAAGTAAGTCTAAATTTACAGGTGGCTGTTCTCTAAATGGGCAAATGAAGTGATAAATACAGAGAGTATAAAAAAGATTTGTGGCAAGTAAAAGAGTTTTTTTTGTGCATGATACAAATTTCTTAAGACATTAAACTACTTTTGAAATCTTTTTTGCTCCTTTGATTGAGGGAATAACTAGTGTTTCACAGTGAATATAAGCTGGTACCAAACTGGAATTTGGTTTTCTCTCCCTGATTAAAAGAACAAAGTTTTCTTGAAATGCGGCTTTGATAACAAACTGTGGTGCACATAGACAAAGCTCTCATTCTGCTTCTACAAAATTAACACCCCATTAAGGAATTTAAAATGAATAAACAATGGCTGTAAACCAAACAGTCGGGGCTATGGGAGGTCCAAGATGGCCACTTAGCTTTTCCCAGTTCCCTGACAAACCTCACTTTTATGTGAGAGGATAAAGCCTTTCCTGGATGCAGGATTAATATCTCACAATGGAGAAAAATGGTTAATATGTGTTTTCCGCGATCTCCAGTGATCGGGGCACCCACGTTGCTAGGCAGGTCGTATGGACATTGGCAAAAGTTAATGAGCTTCTTGGAGACTAATGCTTTCACTGGTGTCGTTGGTCATTGGGCAGGGATGGCAGAACAAAGGGATTGGTTGCGTGGGAGGTGAATAGACTGCTAAATATGATTATAATTTTCATGACTTTTTGTCTGACATATTACTGGCTTCTAATCTTTGTTTTCAGATATAGAGAAGCTCTTCTCAAGTCACTGATGGTTTAAAAGTTTAGTGATTTACACCTGTGGGTAAAATTAAAGCATTTTCTTTTCTCTCTGCCTCATCTTTTCAGAAATTGGAGACACTTGGGTTCTGAACAGCCTCATCAGGGTAAAAAAAGACCATCTCCTGACATATACAGAAATCTCAAAGTATACTGGGGAGCTCTAAAAGAAAAATCCACCCAACTGATGTCAGGCCAAAGGCATCTGTTATGTTTCACTGAACATTAAGTTCTAGTTTTAATTAAGGTCTGTATTTACTAAAATTCACTTCTGAGATAGTTCCTGATGGTTATGTTACCTTGCCAAGAGGTTTAATTAAGTTATTAAAAGGACAGTCAGAGTTTGTTTCTAAAGCTTATCTCAGTAACTAGTCTTTGAATAAAGATCAGATGCTCCAGGATCTACAACCAGGAGAATAACAGCAGGCTATCGTCATTTAACAAAATAAGTCAGATGACCTGGAGATGTCACTGGGCTATACCTAATGGAAGTTCTTAAGTTCTTACATAAGATTTTACTATTGCTGCTAACTATAGTGTTTTCTATATTGTCTGTTTCAAAAAGTATTGTCCCCTACATTACCAAATGTGTGACTGAGCTACTGATATAATGATGATATACAACTTCACATGAAATCCATCATTATAACAATGTGACTCTATAGATGAGAAGAAACAACAAGAGGCAATATTTTCCTAGATCAAAAGGCTAATAAAGTATGGTCCAGAGACTTATACTTCTCACAGGGCCTAGTCCTAGGCACATTGAGAAGCCTATCAATGAAATCTTCGGCAGACCAGGAATGAATTAGGGCAGCAACTGGACCCCAAGAGAGATTCTCTTCTTAACGACTCTGTTACACATTTATAAAATGTCCTCCACAACCAGATCAGATCTCTTCAACAATATTCTTCAGATGCCACTATTCAGAATCTCTCTGACATGGCTACCTGGCTTAATCCAAAAAATTGGTTTTCCAGTCCCAATTTAAAGGCATGCTTCTTTGCTTTTATGTTTTTCATAACCATTGTGTTGTATTTTTACTCCAAACCCCGATTACTTTATTTTCTCATTTTACACGTGTTGAGGCCATATTGACTCTTTCTATAACAAGAACAATGACATACCATTTAAAACAAGATAGGAAGAGAGGAATTGTGGGGAGCATATACTTTCCAGTCTTCCCATAAGCTCTGCTGTCTTGTAGCTGTGCTCTTTCTTGTGTAGCCCTTCCCATGCCCTTAAGACAAATAACTTGGCTGACACGTTGGCCTCAGCAGATGTTATGCACGCAGAACAAACGTCCTTATCTTCAAAGCCTTACTATATGACTCCCTTGTCCATGAAGGAGATTATGTACATGCTTTATGTTATTCAGATGTTTTCCTTGGTCCTTGGTTTCTAATTGTTGTCTTGCTTCAAGACCTCTGCTACTGAATTCCAGAGAAGTTCTCAATAAATGTGTGCTCAGCATCTTCTTGGGAGCTACTCACTCACAAGCCCTCCCTGTGCTGTCTGTCATAATCCTGTGTGGTTGTGAGAATTATTTCAGTGTGACACCGCTTTATCCTACCTCCAGATCTTCCCATTCCTGCCGCCCCTAACACCTTTCCTCTCCAGACTCCAGTCTTTTCTCTCCCACCTCCATTGACTTAAGCCTTATTTTCCTCTTTATTCCTTAAGACCCTAGTCACAAGTTGCCTTCTCCAGAACTTTCCCATATTCCTTCTGGCAAGAAGAGTCCTCTCTCTTTTCTGAAACTCCATTTCTGTGTTGTGACCCTGTGCCAAGCAGCCCAAGTGACCCAGACAAGGTGGCAGTTCGTGGGTTTTGTTTGTTTATATATTTAGGCTACGCTGGTCTTACTCGTGGCACAAGGGATCTTTTCAGTAGCAGCACGTGAACTCTCAGTTGCAGAGGTGGGATCTAGTTCCCTGACCAGGGATCAAACCAGGGCCCCCTACATTGGGAGAGTGGAGTCTTAGCCACTGGATCACCAGGAAGTCCCAATTAGTGTTTATGGAACTGTGCAGGTTCTCTTTTTCCAGGTGAGGAAACTGAGGCCCAGACAGTGACTCGACCAGGGTCATCTCCAACATGCAGAGCCCTGCCATGATGTCTGTGTTGCTTGTGTCCGTGGGCCTCATGGAAGCACTCCAGGTACAGTCATCCTCTGCTGTCCCTATGCCCCAGCTGCTGGCTTCTGAACTCTGCCAGATGCTTCCTTTGGGGATGGCTGAGTCTGAGGGGACAGCCCTGGAGCCCAGTCTCAGGGCCTCCACTGCTGGTAGTTCCCCATCCCCTTCCACTCCAAGTGTGTTAGGGGCGTTCATCTCTCTCAGCTCAGTGGAGGAGGGGAGCTGGATAACAGGGCTCCTGTTCTCCTGGGGCCTAACCTCTCAATCCTTGCTGCTCCCCTTCTTGCAGGCCCAGAGCCACCCCGTCATACGACGAGACCCCCTCTCTCGAGAAATGCCCCTAGACATGGCCCTGGACTCCTTTGATGACCAGTATGCTGGCTGTGCCAAAGCCATGGTGGCTGCTCTCCCGGATCTCAACCGCACAGAGTTCCAGGAAAATAAAGTGTACGCCGATGGCTGGGCACAGGCAATCAGCCAGTGGCGGGAGCGCCAGGCCTGGGGGCCCAATACCCGTCTGGTCCCACCCAAGGGCTTCCGGGAAGAGCACGGGGTGGCCCTCCTGGCTTACTCGGCCAACGGAAACTTATATAAAGAATTCAACAAGGCTGTGCGCAAGGCGGGTCACTCCCGCGCCGATTACCTCCAGCACTTCTCCTTCAAGACACTTCACTTCCTGCTGACCGAAGCCCTGCAGCTGCTGCGCAGCAGCCAGTGTCCACCCCAGTGCTACAAGGTGTTCCGAGGGGTAAATGTGCACTTCCGGCCGGCGGGGCCTGGGGCCACCGTCAGGCTGGGGGGCTTTGCCTCTGCGTCCCTGAAGAGGAGTGTGGCCGAGAGATTTGGGAAAGACACCCTGTTTCACATCTGTACCTGCCTTGGGGTCCCCATCAAGGACTACTCCCTATTCCCTAAGGAGGAGGAGGTGCTGATCCCTCCCTTCGAGACCTTCGAGGTGATCAACCCCAGCAGGGCGGCCCAGGGATCCTCTCATATCTACCTCCAGTTCAAGGGGAAGAGCAGCACATACAACTGCGAGTACATCAGAGGTGAGCAGGGCACGTGTCAGCCAGCAGCTGTGCACAGGTGGGCTTCCCCATCCCATGTTCAGGGCACACATACACAGATATTAAAATCAGTGAGGAGGACCTCACCCTTCCCCAGCCCCTCCAACCCTTCCATCCAAGGGGAGACATAACGTTCCTTACCCTGGTGGTGTCTAAGTCAGAGCTGGCCACTTGCCTGCTGGGAGACTGAAGAAGGTTTTCTGACTAGCACAGGTGTTTTTGGCCCTTTGAGCGCCCAACAGACTTGATCAGGCTTCTCTCCCATATGGAATCTGTTGCCAGAAATGAGAGTGGGCCCCCATCATGTTTTCCGAGAGGAGTGTGTTTTTTGACTGAGCAGAAACCCTGGGCTGTGCGTGTACTGGGTCAAGGTGATGGTGAGATGGTGAGACAGCATGTGGGTGCCATCCCCCTAAGTTCTAGCTCGGGCTCTGGCAGGTCTTGGGTGCTTTTCCCTGCACCATCTCAGGACCAGGCAGAGGAGTAATCATGAGGATGAGTCCGGGTCCTTAGTCTCTGAAGGGGCTGTGGGCTGCTGGTCCTGGCTGAAGGATGCCCAGGGGATTGTGAGGCTGTTTTCCTAGTAAGAGGCAGGCTGTTGGCTGGATCCATGGACCACATCTCAAGTGGGAGTAGGTCCAATGTGGCTTCAGATCCCACCGTGGACAGCATCACAAGCATGCATGAGTTGATGGAAGGTGACGAAGACAGGCAAAGAACATAAATGAGCCCCTCCTTGGCTGGGACAAGACAAGGGAGGAGAAGTGGGTGCGGCATGGAGGCAACGTTACAGGCCAAGGGAGGAGAAGGAGCGCCCAGACCACCCTGGCTTTGAGGGCTGGGGCCTTCCTGGCCCCGCTGCTCGTGGGTCTAGTCAAACCCAGGCGAGGGTGGTCCCACCATAAGGAAGCAGAATCAGGGGAAAAGGCACCAGCTTCTCCGAGAGCAAGTCAGGGAGGTGCTCTGGGGTCCCTTTGCTTCCTAGAGAACCATTGAGCCTTTGATTCTTTGCTGTTTCTTTCCTGCAGACAAGCAGTGCAAGTCTGAGCGCTGCTGTCTGGATAGCTCAGGTAAGGGCTGCAGGCATTGGCGGGGCTCTGTTTGGGGATGAGCTGACGGCCCTAGGTCTGGGCCCCTCTCCTGGGTGAACATCCCCCTTAAATGAAAAACATCCCCCTCTTTTGATTAAAAAAAAAAGTAGACTTTCTTAAGCAGACACCTGTAGGGGTTGCTAACCTTTCCCACAGGGTGTACAGTGGGTGTTGATTGGCAAGCTGACACATCTGCTCCCCTCCACCCAGGCCTGGGCCTGGCCCCTCCTTAAAGGAGGTCATTGATGAGACCCCAGAGAGCTCCAGGCTGCACTGGGGTGACAGTGGGAAGGGCCACTCCACAAAGTCCTCCCCAGGCCTTCTCCTCCTTCTGCTGGGAGCCCTCTGTCTGTAACTGTGCTCAGAACTCCCTCAGACCGCCTCCCAAGGTCAAGGTCAGGTCATGGGTGCTGGAGACCTGGGCTCTAACTCAGGCTCTGCCCCAACTCTGTGACCAATCTTTCCTGCTCTGGGCCTCAGTTTCCCTATCTGTATCATAAGCACATTGGACCAGATGGTCCCCAGGTTCTCTGTGGCCATGACTCTTTCCTTGAACAACTGCAGGCCCACGGCTTGCCTGAGGCATCACCTCTCCAGCTGGGAAGACGCCATTCCCAGGGAAGAAATCACAGCTGCTCCTCACCCTGGGCTCCTGCCTCCTCCCTCAGGGCTCTGAGAGCAGTGGGCGGGAAGGAGCCTCAGCCTCCAGTTGGCTCCCACCCTTCTCCATGGCACAATACCACTCAGGATTCTGGGCACATGAGTCCTCACCATGATCCGCTGGTGCAGATACTCTCATCAGCCCTGTTCCACGGATGAGAGAGAGAGGCACAGAGAGGTGAAGCAACCAGCTCCACACACAGACCTAGCAAGGGATGGGGCCCAGATAACCTGGCCCTGGAGTCCAACTCTGAACCACCACACCAGGCTGGCCCCCACCTCATGTTGTCCTTATACTGCACAATCATCAACTGGAAGGAGGTGGGACAGGAAATACTGGCCTCATTATATAACAAAGTGAGGCCCAGAGACAGAAGTGACTTGCTCCAGGTGACAGAGTGAGCTAGTGGCAGAGTCAAGACCAGCCAGGTCTCCAGCTTCCAAGCCAGCTTCTTTGAGTCTGATGATCGTCTCTGAGTTCTGATCATTTTTGAGTTCTGATCATCTTTGAATTCTGATAATGTAATTTTAATAACTGGGAAAATTTAGAATTCACCCCCCATCCCCCTCCACCAGCACCTCTCCCACCAGAGTCTGGGCAGAGGAGCAAAGATCAGCATCATCAGATCCCACTCAGATCTCCCCCATTTCATCCCACCCTGCAGTGCCTCAGTTGTGTCAACAGGAGGCTGGTGGTGGTGGTGGTTTAGTCGCTAAGCCATGTCCAACTCTTGCGACCCCATGGACTGTAGCCTACCAGGCTTCTCTGTCCATGAGGTTCTCCAGGCAAGAATACTGGAATGGGTTGCCATTTCCTTCTCCAGGGCATCTCCCTGACCCAGGGATCCAACCCAGGTCTCCTGCATTGTAGGTAGATTATTTACCAACTGAGCTACAAGAGAAGTCCTTAATAGGAGGCTAGGGCACAGACAAGTTGACCTCTGGAAAGGGAACTGGGACTCTGCTTGTCTCTTCATCTCTGTCTACCTTCCCCCCTAAATTCTTCCTCACTTTGTCCCTGAATCGCTCTGCCTCTGTTTTCCCTGCAGCCGTGGGTCAGAGGCCCGTTCCTGCAGTCTGGTCCCTTCTACTGCTGCTCTGGTTCCTCGTTGGGGAGGTCTTTCCAGAGAGTCCGGGCCTCCTCTAGCCCATCAGCCACTGAACAGCTCTGCCTGTCACCTCTGCCCAACATGAGGATGTCAGCCACATGCGTGCTCTGAGTGTGGCCACGATCCGGGCTAACTCCATCTACAGGAAACTCTGGGACCTTCTCTGGCGACTGCTGGGCCTGCTAGCAGGAAGAAGAAAATGTGGGGACTGAGCCTCTCCCAGGGTTCTAGGAGTCAGATGCTGAATAGAGGTGGGGGGCCTGGAGGACGGGTAACCCCTCACTTGGAAATAGAAGATTAAAGTATTTGGAGGCATGGTGACTGGGGAGAAAATTACTTGACTGTGGTATTCACTGGTGTTATTCAAATACCGTCCATGTGCACCTGGACAGCTCCTCTTTGCTCTTCCAGGAAGCCTTCTCTGACCTCTCCTCCCTGCTAAATTAGGGGCCCTGCCCCTGGTCTCCCACCCCCAGCTGTGAACTTCTGAGGATGGGGACTGCGTCCGAGGTAAAGAGGTGGCACCAGAAAATGTGTGGAAGTCAGTAAGGAACAAACACCTTGTGAATGGCTGGTCCTTGTCCTTCCCCTACCTTGGGCATCTTCAAGTTCTCCGGATGTCACTGTGTGACGCTCACATAGTGAAAACAGGGATGGACTGGACCTAAGTCCAGATGGGGCAGAGAAGAAGAACAGCAGAGAGAGCTTTAGGGATCTCAACCAAAGCCCAGTCATTTCTTGTCAGCAAAGATGTAATTTCTACTCCGATTCATGAGTCCTCTGGTCCCTAAAAGGCTGGGGTCCCGACTTCCACCACCAAGAGCCTAAGGATAAGAGGACATGGAGGAGGTGCAAGGCACACATTATTTTATTATGAGTTGGAGCTCTGGGGCCAAGTCCTTATGTGGCCTCCTTCTGTGGAAAGTGGACCAGGAACCCTGAATCCCCAGTCACTTTCCCTGAGCCCCTAGACAGGGTCAGGCTAGACCAAGTCTCTGTAACAGCAGCCACAGGGGAAGCAAGAGAAGACAGGAAATGGGGCAGTGCTGTCATGCCTGCTCTCTCCTTACTGAAAGCACTGTACTCAGCACTGAA